GCAGTAAACCTGGAAATCTAGACTGGAGGCAGACTGTGAAAGACTGTAAATGCCAAACAGAAGAGCTTATATTTTATCCTGGAGGCAACTGGAGTTTATTGAGTAAGGGGGATGATATGATATTTTATGAATATCAGTTTGGCAGCTGTATAGAGGATCAATTGTTGGGAAGAGACAAAAATAATAATAGCTAGCATTTACATAGTGCTTTAAGATTGAGAGAGTATTTTACAATTGTAAACTCATTTACAGCTAGGTGACACTTACAGTGCTGGACTCCTATCTCAGAAACTTACTAGTTTTCTGAGCTTGGACAAATCATTTAAACTGTAGGTACCTCAGTTTCCTCATCTGTATGAGGATAGTAATAGCACCTACCTCACAAAGTTGTTGCAGTGTTTGACACTGCTGATCACCTTATCCTCTGGGATACCCTCTCTTCTTTCGGTTTTTATAACATAACTCTTTCTTCCTTTTCCTCCAATCTGTCTGGTTGCTCCTTTGATGGATCATGCATGTCATATCCATACAACATTCACATAATGCATGTGTAATAAATTAAATATAATGTATGCATAACATATTGCACATATGTGATATTTTTATGTTATCTAATATGTTCTGATTTTCTAACTCATTAGATTGTCCAGTCCAATCACTAATGTTCAAAGCCTGTGTCAAGGTTTATGCCAAATATGTTATATCAGGGAGGGGGGAACAAGGGGGAAAGTATACAGAGGAGAAGCACTAAGTATGAAAAGCATGGAAAGAGTCTAAAATATTACCACACTTATTCTTCCTCTATAATACAGAGTTCACAAGGATGGGATCATGTCTTACTTATCTTTTTACTTCCCCTAGTGCATAATACAGTATGCATGTAATAAATTCTTAATACTTATTGAGTTGAATACTCCCCAGAGAATATCAGGGCTCTTTAGGACAGGCAATATTTTTGAGAAGAGCAACTCCAGATCTTTCTGCCTAGAAGATACTATCTATTCACCTCTTAGAATCCCTGGTTTCCTTCAACACTCCTTGTATCACCTTGAAATTTTGACTTTTTCTCTTAATTGATGATAAAGGGAATTTAGAATTTCTAGTGTACTTTTGTTTTGGGGATTTCATTCTCCATTATTATTTGTTACCTTTAATCAAGTGATATGGCATTCAGGTTTTCTACTACCTATACCAGCTACAGATACCGACACCATCTTCTAATGCTTGTCCACAGAACTTTAATAGCTTTCCAAATTCCACATGGCTACCAAAGTGATATATTTGTACAACAGTGGTCTGATGATGTCACTCCCCTGCTAAAGAAGCTCCTGTGACTCCCTATTGCCTTTAGGATAAAACTCCTTTGTCTTTTCTTTAAAGCCCTTTACCATCTGGACCTAGGCATCTATATGTCACAATGGATAGAGTGGGCCCTGGAATCAGGAGTACCTGAGTTCAAATCTGACCTCAGACACATACTAGCTGTATGACCCTGGGCAAGTCACTTAACCCTGTTTGCCTCAGTTTCCTCATTTGTAAAATGAGTTGGAGAAGAAAATGGCAAACCACTCCAGTATCTTTGCCAAGAAAACCCCAAATGGGTTCATGAAGAGTCAGACAGAACTGAAACTACTGAACAACCACAACCTACCTTTCTGGGCTTAATATCTATTACTCTCCTTCACTCACATATACTATATTCCAGTCAAAGTAGCCTGTTTGCTACCCCATTGCTCCCAATCTCCCATCTCCTATCTTCCCATCTTCAAAAAGGCTGTCCTCTATGCCTCCACTTTCACTCTAAGAATCTTTCCTAGAAAGCCCAGCTCAGACACTACCTCCCACATGAGGCTTTTTCTGATCCCCTTATATCCTAGCATCTACCACTACCCCCAACCTAATTCTTTTCCATTATTTACCTTGTACTTAATTTGTGTGTATATCTATATAGGTATATATGCATATAAACAGTACATCCACACACATACATAAATACATACAGTCCACCTCACTGTTATATGTATATATGCATATATACAGCATATACACATACACACTCCCACACAAACACATACAATACACCACACCATGCTATTGGGTAGATTCCTGCTTTGAGTGGGGGGCTGGGGTAGATAAGCTCCAAGGTCCCTTCTAACTTTAAGATGCATTGTCTGTCCTTCATCCCTGGACTACTCTCTCATCACTGAGGCCTCTTAAAATCCGAGGCTTTCTTTAAGATTCAGCTCAAGCACAACCTTCTGGGAAAGGCCTTTCTGGTCCCCCCACCCTCCACTGCTACCTGTATGAATTTTGTAGGTACCTATTTATGTACCTAATGTCTGTTCCCCTTAGAATGTGAGCTCCCTGGGAGGAGAGAAAAAAAGGATAGCCTTTTTTCTATATTCTCAGCACTTAGCATATATTAAGTATTTAATAAATTCTTGTTTATTTATGGATTAGAGATTCAGCTCAAATATCACCTTCTGCATGAGGCAGACACCCCCTCCATCCCAGCTGCTAGTGTCTTTCCCCCAAAGGCTACCTGGCATTTGCTTTGTATATGTGTTGTATATCCCTACATCTCGAGAGTATCCCCAAAGTCTTAGCATAATTTAAAGCTTTACTAGGTTAATGAACTTCTTAAGACATAATTGCAGAGCCTAGAATTCTAGTCCCTAGTAGTTGCCTGCTGATTCATCTCATAGATTCAAGGCTCCTGAACATGCAAAATACTGGACAAAAGTCATGAGTGAATGTTCAGTTTAATGCTAGACACCCTACATATGTCAATGTTGTCTCCCCCATTAGAATATATGCTCCTTGTGGGCAGGGTCTGTTTTACTTTTGTATTCATAACCCTAGTACTCGGTAGTGTCTCCTAGCATGTTGTAGGCACTTAATAAATGCTTGTTTATTGTTTGTTAAGAGATTGGGATGCTGTGGAACTGGCAGGCAGGGAAGTATATGGGTGCTACAGAGCTAAAGTGTGGCAGTTCAGTTTTCCATACAGATCATACTGCTCAAAGAACAACTAACAATGAATTGATTGATTTCAGGGGAGACTGCTGCTATGTGATGTTTGGTAGAGCTTGAAACTAGACATTATTTGGGATGGAGGATGTTCAGTGAGGAGTGTGTTACTGGGTATGGAAAGAACATTTTGTGAGTGTTGGGGAAGAAATGACAGCTGGGAACTATAGGGCAGCTGTGATATTACCCATAGTATCCCTCTTTATGTCATTATTATGAAGGAAGGGGAGAGAAGAACAGAAGGAGGAGTCTCAGGTGTTGGCAACAGTACAGGTTGTATCTTGCAATGCTACTAAGCAATCTCTAACAGCACAGACCAGTATCGAGTATAAGAACTCCTGAAGCTATGATTTCAGTAGTCTAATATTGCTTGTCCAACTTTTCAGTGAAGCCTGTTGCAGCTCCCATTCCTAGAAAAAGGTACTGGCAACAGTAATTGACTTACATAACTCATCCATCAATTTCCCAGATCCCAGGGGTTCAAGTCTTTGAAAGCTTCCTGGCAAAGCAAAAAGGAGCCATTAAGTTTGTTCATGGCCTGAACCTCTGGCTTAACTCTTCTAAGTCAGTGTTCCCTTGAAAGCAGGGGTTCTTAACCTGAGTTCCATGGACCCAAGGGGCCTACAAATTTAAATGGGAAAATAATTACATCTTTATTTCAATATGATTGGGTTCCTTTATGGTCCTATGGTCCTATAATATGGTAAAGAATTTTATATGACAGAGTAGAAAAAAGTTAAGAACCAGTCTGGCAAAGAGTTCAGAAGAAAGATAAGGTAGGAGGATCTCATGGCCTAAAATTCTACAGGGCTAAGTAAACCAAGGAAGGATGGGAAGTTATCAAAAAGGAAATTCTAAAGGCACAACTGTAGGGTCTATTCTAGACCACTGTAGTTGCCTGCTGATTTATCCCACAGAAGCAAGACTATACCAATATGCTGAACAAAAGTCCTTCATGAATGTTAAGTTCTTTACTATTGTACCTATAGAATGCTATTTTAAAGCAGGTGTTCTCAATTTTGGGGGGTCATGGACCTATTTGGCAGTATAGTGAAGCTTACAGACTATTCAGAAAAAATTGTTTTTATATACATAAAATAAAATCCATAGAACCACAAAGGAAAACAATTATATCAAAATAAAAATGTGATTATTTTACCATCCAAATTCACAGATCCCCTGCATGAATTGACCATAGTTATGTTCTAGGAACACTAACTAGAGTTCATGTTAGATGAGAATCAGCTGAAGGAACTGGAGAGGTTTAGTCTAAAGAAGAGAAGGATCATAGGGAGCATGGTAATGGTTTTTCAAGTCTGAAAGGCCACCATGAGAAAAAGAGTTGAGATTCATTCTGTTTAGTCCCAGAAGAAAGAACTAAGAGCAACAAACAGAAGTTGCAAAGAGGCAAAATTAAGGTTGACATAAAGAAAAATTTCCTAACATTATGAGCTATACAAAAATGGAGTAGGCTGCTTCAGAGGGTACTGGGTTTTCTCCTCATTGGAGATCTTTAAGGAGGGGCTGAATGACCACTTTGTCACATAAAGGGAAATTATTTTCCTTGTTAACTAGGTGGACCATGGATAGAGTGCCTGACTAGAAGTCAGAAAGTCCTGAGTTCAAAATCTCTTTCAGACACTTTTTAGTTTTGTGACCCTGGGCAAGTCACTCACTTATCCTCTCTCAATCTCAGTTTCTTAATCTGTAAAATGAGGATAATAATAACATCTATCTCATAGGTTTGTCATAAGGACCAAATGAGATAGCATATGTAAAGTTCTTTTCAAATCTTTTAAAGCACAATAAACGTCAGCTTCCTTTCTCTTCATGTAAGAGTTGGACTACATAACCACTAATTCTTTTCCAACTCTGGAATTCTTTGACTGTGACTTGAGCCATATAATCCTATGCAGTTATTATTGATATTTTATAAATACATTTTCCCAAGGAAATTATATATTACTCACATGTACATGTATTTGTCCAGCTTTGCTGCAAAATGACGTGGCATTTCTCCACACCCATAATAGTTTCGGTCATTTTCTGGTAAATGATCCACATCATGAAAAATTATACAATCCCACATCATATCTTTCATAGCTTCTTTAAATCCAACATTAAAGAGCATTGCACGATTAAAAGGTTGGGTGCCAGTCTTTAAGGAGGGAAACCAAAGAGAAGACAAATTATAAGAACAAGAAGAATAGACATGTTTTATCATGTTTTAGAGGAAACAAATTTATTACAAAGCTTCAAGTCCAAAATCATTGTTATACTCATTTCTTTGTAAAACTCATCAGTGAAATGATACCAAAATTGCAAAAAAATTAAAACAGGTACTACTACCTGACTGAGTGGTGTACAAAAATAATAAACATTTCAGAGTATAAACATTCAAGTTCTAGTCAAAATTAACCTATAAATATTTGGCTATGTTGATAACATCAAATGAAATTGAATAAAAGCATTGCTGTCTGAGCAATTAGCTGAAACTAAGCATTTGCTAATTAGGTTACTACTGGGTTCTATCAAATCAAAATGGAGGACTTTATTTTCCCAAATTTTCCAAAATATCTAGTCTATTCAACAACAGAAATATTTATTTTCAACTTGAAAATGTAGTAAGGAATTAAAAGTGGAACCCTTTTATAATAAAGGCACAGAGATTTTATATTTTATTATACTATCAATAATAATAAAAGCCAAGTGTACTACTTTTTATTATTGAAGATATTTTAAAACCAGTTAATGAGCATTTATTAAGTGCTTACTATGTGCAGGACATTATGTGAAGCCCTAGGGATACAAAGAAAGGCAACAAATAGGCCCTGCTCAGAGCAGCTAGGTAGCACAGTAGATACAGCACTGGCCCTGGAGTCAGGTAATATGGACAAAAAAGTCATACATGAAATCTTTGGTCCATTGTCTAATTATTCTGATAACTCATACATGATGAAGATCACGGATAGAATAAGGTACACACTACCAGCTAGATGGTTCTGACAATTAATAGTCACCTTAAAACTCTATGCCCAAACAGAAGACCACATCACAACTTGATTATTTCTCAGATTATTTCCCAATGTATCTGAATCAATCACAATGATCCCTGAGTCTCAAGAGAAACTGCCTGTATAAATGTAAAAGCTGTTGCCTTCACTAGTTCTGAGGTGTCAATAGAATGTTACCCTGAAATTTCACCTCACTTCCAGCAAAATGGAAAAAATGACCCCAAAATGAACAGTCAATGTTGGAGGGGTTGTAGAATTATAAGAACACTACTATGTTTTGGTAGAACTATGAAATAATACAACCCTTTTGAAAAGCAACTTGGAATTATGCAAATAAAATGACTAAAATGTCCATACCCTTTGAACCAGAGATTCCATTAGTGGGCCACCAAGGAAGCCATAAGTAAGAATGTCCTCAAATAAAACAAAATATTTAAAGCAGCACTTTTTGCAATAGCAAAAAACTGGAAGCAAAGTACATGTCCATAAGTTGGAGAATAGCTAAACAAAATGTAGTCTGTGAATGTAATGGAATACTAATATGTTTTAAGAAATGATGTGTGTGATGAATAAAGAGAAGCTTGGAAAGATCTATATGAACTGATGCAGAGTGAAGTAAGCAAAGCCAAAAAAAATACAGAGTAACTACAACAATGTAAATGGAAAGTACTACACACCAAAAACTCAATGTAAACATGACAACAAGATAAAGATCAAGGAGAACTTCAGTGAAGAGATATGAGAGAACACCCCCAACCCACCCCTTTCTGGAGGTGGGAGGTCCACAGGTGTTACACACAGCACATGTTCTGGGACTTTTTTCAATGTGTCAATTTTTTCCCCTTTCTTAAAAAAATGTGTTTCAATATATACAATGGTTCTTTGGGAGGGGCAGAGAGAGAGATACTTGGGATAACTATGATGATGTAACAAACAAAAGACATCAATAAAAACATTTTTTTAAATGTAATGGTATAGGGGGTTGGATTTGCAAGAGAAACAAAAAACAGAGACTGATGGATGTGACACAGTATACTGACAACTGTGGCTACTTCCATTGTAGGTAAAGAAGGAATTGGTTTCCTTCCCTACAAGGAAAGAGACTAGAACTAAATGATGATAATGATGATGATGATGATGATGATGATGATGATGATGATGATGACGACGACGACGACAACGACGACGACGACGACAGTGGTTGCGGTAATGGTGATGGTGGTGAAGGTGGTGAAAGTCAATACTACAAGCTGGCTATGTTATAGTTAGAAAGATGCACATTTCATATGAATGGGGAACAAAATTTAAGAAAGAAAAAGAAGAAATATTTGTACAAACAAGGATCAAGTGACAGAAGTCCCTGAGTTTTTCCAGGGTGAGAGGTAAAGTTGAAAGATATGCATAAGAAAAAGAAAAGAAAAGAAAAAATAGAGAAGAAACTTAAGTCATTAAGTGGTACATCCTAATGAGCTTTGTAGATGAGGTTTTTTTTTTTTTCATCAAAATAGAGGAATTCTACTGACAAAGCCTAAAACGCCAGTAATCTTCAAGCAAAGAATGGATGACTGCTTGTCATGGGTTATGTAGAGATGCTCTGCCCTTCAAATGAAGGTTGGGCTAGATGAGCTCCGTGAGGTCTCTTTCAGCTCTGAAGTTTTATGATTCTAACTTTGACAATCAGATTTCGTATAAGAAATAAAAGATAAGATGGTAAAGGAGGCTGTCCAAAAATCAAAACCAAAAATATTCAAAACACAAAAAGCATTCATATTTGGAATAGAAATGCACCATTTTAGAAAGACTGTGCCAAATTTTAGCAGTTGGTATAATGGTTGAAGGGGGAAAAAGAAAAATAAAAGTGGTATCTTAAGCCACATAATGGTAAAAATGACAGATGGAGAAAAAATATATGTACTATCTACTATACTTAAATTCAAGATGTTGAGCTTAAACTATATCTAAAACGATAACAAGCCATGATTCTGGGAAGAAATTAAAAGCAACTGCCAACATGTAAAGTAAACAATGGGAGAAAAATGTGATTGCTCCACGAGGTAAAAACATAAATGTTGAAAAGAAAGGGATAAAAGCTAAAAGGGCTAAAGCACAGAAGTGGTGACAGCAACATTATCATAATAACAATGAAAGAGTTTATCTGAATAGATATTGTTGGTGAGAGGTAAAGTTAAATGATATGTCAAAAAGCAGAACATTAAGGGAGATGTAATTCTGCAAGTGTGAACAAATCGACTGTATAAGGAATCAGAATGAAGAATTTCAAAGTAGAACAAACCTAAAGGAATGAAAAACACGAAGAGAGTGGGGAAATGATTAAATAAGAAACCAGAACTAAGACCAGAGAAAAGATGACCAAAAAACAAAGGGTAAAGAATAGAAGTAGACAAGTTATCAAGGTCTGGAGAAAAGGGGCTTTTTAAAAGGCTATAATTATGAAATGATACAAGATGTAACTATAGGATATTGAGAACAGTTTGTATGTGGCTTATGGTAATCAGCCTCATGGCTTTGTCCTGCACTGTATTACTTGGTTTGATTTCTGTAATAGCACCACTTTCAAAAATTTCAGAGAGACTACATAAAACTAATTACGGTATTTAAAAAAGGAATACCTGTTCCCTAAAAAACAAACAAAAATGTATATAGTCATTAAAAACATCGAGGCCAATTCAACTACTACTCATTTCTATAGCTCAAGGCACATTTGCAACAGCTCTGTAAACAGTGTTCAAAAATAATTAGACCTTCAAATTATGTAATGGACTCCACCTATATTTATCTGTTCAACTGTCTTCTAGTCCCTAAATACTGCTCCCCATAATTAATAGGCTAGGAAAATACAAACATCTGCATACACTGTATAAAACCAGAATTCTGTTGTACAGCCACAGAATTCCCAGTAAAATCAAACAAAATGAAAATCAAAAGAATGGAAAAAGTACATTAATTTACATTTAAGTCGACGTTTGATTTTCATTTGACCAATCTTGAACTAGAAAATCTGGTATAGTATTTATTTTTATGGATAGTCAATAGCACTCTAAAAAGATCTTGCATTTTTATAATTATATTTTGTCAAAAATGCCTTTAGATAATTCATCCTTTCATTATACTTAGATGTATATGTGGGGAGAAATATGCACAGTTAAACATATAGAATCATAATACTGTCCCAGTATAGCTATATGACTGTGAAACATGAAACACCACAATCTTCGAATAACCAAAACTGTGTTTAACCTAAAGGACAATGTAAAGAGCTATGGCGGGAAGCTGCAGCACATAACCAAAGATGATTTGCTTTAAAGTAGCATTAAAAAAACACCATTAAGGTCATGTATGAGCCCAAAAGAAGGGACAACAAGAACATGGGTAATAGCCCAAGCGTGGAACCCTTATTCATGAAACATTAGAGACAAAGAAGGGCTCCAACATGCTAGGCAGATTCACTATGGAGGAGTTCTGGAAGGAGATGGGTAAGTGTTAAATAGGATAAGAAGACATGTATGAGTTGCAATTTGAACATGAAAAAGTCATATTGGCTCAAATAAGATCATGGGCTCATTAAAGTATGTATATATTATACCTATTTAAAATATTTATTAAAGGCAATTTGGTATAGAGAAAAGAGAATGAGTCAAAAAAGATCTGAGTTTATACTATTATGCTTAATCCTTACAAGATATAGACAGATTGCAACTTCTTTAAGCCTCATTTGTAAAATAGGAACACTAATAGCTGTGGTATTTATTTTCATGGCTGTTAAAGAAGCAAATGAAATAATGTATGTAAAGTGCTTTATAAACTCTAAGGTACTACATAAATATCAGTTATAAGCTTAAAGGAACTCTGTGTATTTTGCTATTTAAATTCACATACCATAAACTAAAAAACTTCTTAACTTTTTTTGGCCACTTTCCATTTTATTGATGTGTTTTGTTTTACATTGCATACATTTACAGATTACTTTCACTTTGTTGCTGTTTTAACAAAATAAAACAGTTAAATTAAACTAATAATACAGTGATTTCATATGAAATTGCATGAAACATTTCACATTTATAGCATTGCCCCCACCTCTCTAGTTTTTAAATTAACTAAAATCTATTTTCTCTCCCTCCCAACCCCACTCCATTAAAAAAAGGAAAAGAAAAAAACTAATTTCTTACAGCAAATATGTATAGTCAAGCAAAACAAATCCCCCTCCAATAGATGTACACAAAAAATATATGTCTCATTCTTCACCCAAAATCCATCACCTCTCTATAAGTAAGCATGTTTTCATCATTGGTATTCTGGAATCATGAATGGTTATTGTATTGATGATAGTTATAGCTTCAAAGGTTTTTTGATTTTTACAATATTGTTATGATTATATAAAAAACTGTTCTCCTAGTTTTGCTCATTTCATTTTTCATCAGCTTATAAAGTTCTCAAAAATGTTCATTTTTATAACATTGATGTTATGATATAAACTGTTATAGTTCATTCTATATTAGTTCACTTAATTCCCTATCTTCATGAAACCATCTAATTCTAATAACGCAACAGTATGCCATCACATTCATATACCAAACTTATTCAACCATTCCTCAACTGTTGGAAATCCTCTTAGTTTCTTGTTCTTTATCACCACAAAAGGATCTTTTACAAATATTTTTTGTGTATAAGGAGCTTTTCCTCTTTCTTTGATCTCTTTTGGATATAAACTTAGGAGGGTTTTAGCTGAATCAAAGAGCATACATGGTTTAGTAAGTTTTTGTGTATAATTACAAATTGCTTTCCAAAATAGTTGTACCCATTGATAGGCTTATCAACAGCACACAATATGCTTGTCTTCCCACAACCCATTCAATATTTATCATTATCTCATTTTGTTATCTTTGCCATTCTGAACAGTGTGAGGTGGAATCTAGAAAATACTTTAACTGCCATTTCTCTAATTGGTAATGATTTAGGGTATTTTTTCATATGCCTATAGATAACCTTTATTCCCTTGAGAATGTCTGTTCTTATCCTTAGACTATGTGTCAATTGGAGAATGGCTCTTTTTCTTATAAATTTCAATCAGTTCCTTAAGTATCCTGAAAATGAGACCTTCATTGAAAAAATCTGCTACAAATATTTTTCTTGGTTAATTGTTTCCCTTTTAGCTTATCTGATTTGCTCATACAAAAAACTTTTTAATTTTATGTAATCAAAATTATTCATGTTATCTTTTATGATCCTCTCTATTTCTTGTTTGGTCATGATTTTTCAATCATCCATGGATCTGACAGGTAATTTTTTTTCTCATGCTTCTTTAATTTGTTTAATTATGTGACCTTATATGTCTACATCGTGTATCCATTTGGAGCTTATTTTTATATAAGGTATAAGGTGCTGATCTAAATCTAAATTCTTCTACATTGCTGCCATCCAATTTTCCCAAGCAGTTGTTGTCAAATACTAAGTTCTTATCCCAGTAGCTGGGGTCTTCATGTTTATCAAATACTAGGGTATTTGATACCCTTGCTTGTTATAAACCTAATCTGTTCCACTGATTGATCTTTCTATTTCTTAACCAGTATCAATTGTTTTTAATAATAACTATTTTTAATACAGTTTGGGATCTGACATTGCTAGGCCCCCTTCTTTCCCATGTCATTATTTCTTTTAGGATTGTTGAAGTTTTCCCATATGAATTTCATTATCTTTCTCTAATCCTATAAAATAACACTTAGGTAGTTTGATTGGCATGTCACTGCGTAAGTAAATTAATTTAGGTAATATTATTTCTTATTATATTGGCTTATCCTATCAATTGCTCATTTTTTCCAATTACTTAAGTCTGTATTTTTGAAAACAAATGTTTGGAATTGTCTTCGTATAGTTCGTGTGTATATTCTAAAAGGTAGGCTATCGAGTATCTTATAAATTCTGTACACAATGAGATATGGTTGATGGGGGAGGGAGTAGTGATTTTAGCACTATAAGTTAACATTGGCTATAACCTAACAAAGATTATGATTTTAAAACAGTGTAAGTCTGTATTTCTGAAAACAACTGTTTGTAGTTGTCTTCATATACTTCTTGTGTATATTCTAAAAGGTAGGCTATCGGGTATCTTATAAATTCTGTACACAATGAGAGTAATTAAGAAAAGGAATCTTAGGAAGATCTAGACCCCAGGTATTCATCTTATATAAAATGAGCAAAAACACTTCAAACGTTTTAATTCTACTCAGAAGTGAAGGTTTGTCAGTAGATGTGGCAACACAACATAGTTTTTTAAGGGATATGGTTGATTGGAGAGGGATTGGCTATAACCTAACAAAGATTATGATTTTAAAATAGTATTTATTAAAGAGCTGCTGACCAAATAAAGGAATTTGGCAGCTGGGAATTTAAACTAGATCTGAAATACAATTTTATATCAAACACATGACCATCAAGTGGCCTGGATAAGTAATGTGATTCCTAATCCATTTAATGAACGAGGTCTCAGAATTCAACACATTTATTTACCACTTTAAATAAAAAGTCTCACCTGTTCAATGACATAAAAGGCAAATTCCAATCGTTGTTTCTGTAGCATTGGTATCAGGTGCAAGAAAAAAATTGGAAGATGCTCATGGCGATTGCGAAAAGGAATGAGAATTGCCACCTTCAAAAATGAAAAATAGTGGAAAATTTCATGTCAATATAAAAATGGGTATAAAGATAAAAACTGAAAATTCCCAAAGGCTTTAATATTTAATTTTTGATACAAATGCTGCCATTAATGATGATTCTGAGACACTTTAGTTAAAAAAAAAAAAGAACTTAGCTTAAAAGATGACCCACTAGAATCTATACCTCCATGGGAATTTTTTGGTTTATGAAGTAGCCAAAACCTGAGCACCCTCAACATCTGATCACCATATACCACCCTCATGAATTATCTTAAAACATGTTAAATTAATTTTGAAGTGTATGTTAGTCTTTTACTATTTTTAGTAAAAAAAAATATTTAATTTTTTTCTACTGTTACTGCAATATTTCAAGGACCTGTGATTTCACTGCTATGACTATCGACAGATCACAATCTGATTTAGTAATAGTCTTCAAAAATTGCTGTGGCCAAAAATATTCATCATGAATTGATCATCAGAGTAATCAGCTTCTTAGAATTTAGCTGAATTAGAGATCAAAAAACAGACACTTGGTTAATACCAAAAGCCTTTCTAGGTAGAGCAGTGGATAAGCACTGAGCCTAGAGTCAGGAAGATTTGAGTTCAAATCTGGCCTCAGACACTTCCTAGCTGTGTGACCCTGGGCAAGTCACTTAACCTTTGTTTGCTCTAATTTCCTCAACTGTATAATAGCATCTACCTCCGAGACTTGATGTGAGTCTCAAATGAGATAATAGTAAAAGTGCTATATAAATATTGGAGGATGATGATGGTAATAATAATAGTAATAACATTTGTTATATTGTCACTTAACCTCTCTGAGCTTTAGCTTACTCATCTGTAAAATGGGAATAACTATATTACCTACCTGGATTGTTGTGATACTCAAATGAGGTGATGTATGTAAAGTGCTTTTTTACAAACCTTAAAATGAATTCTATTAAGTGTCACAGACAGTCTGTTGTCATTCAGTAGTTTTTCAATCACGTCTGACTCTTCATGACCCCTTTTGGGGTTTTCACAGCAAAAATACTGAAGTGGTTTGCCATTTCCTTCTCCAGCTCAGTTTACAGATGAGGAAACTGAGGCACACAGGGTTCAGTGACTTGCCCAGGATCACACAGCTAGTAAATGTCTGAGGCCAGATTTGAACTCAGAAGAAGAGTCTTCCTGACTCCAGGCCCAGCAATCTATCCACTGCACCACCTAGCTGCCTCAGAGAAAGTCTACTGTCTAACAGTTGCTCATCCAAAAGAAATCTTGGGAAGGTTTGAGGGTAGAGTAGTGGGTAGAACAATAACAGGTAAATGGCGAGTGTTTCTGTTTGGACCAGAATCTCTGAGAGTTTTCCCCTCTCAGACTGATTCTTTTGTGAAGGTAAACTAGGCCATCTTTTGCCACATTTCTTACCTAGCCTTTAATCACTGAAAGGTTGTTGTCTCAGAGAAACTGGGACCTGGAAAAGATCTTAACTTGAAAAAGCCAAAGTCTCCCAGGGCATCCTGGGCCACTGCCAGTCGTTCTGACCTATGTCTTGCCACTGGACTCTGATGACTCTGGAGGAGAGAGTGTGGCTGACGACTTTTCTCTGCCCCACTTAAATACAATTCACTTGCAAGTCAAGACATCATCCCTCTGATGTCATTGGTTCTCTTAGAGAATGAAGGACGAACAACAGAGCAGTAACAATGACAATAATAATAGTTGTCTAAGATTCAACAGAGCTGTCATTTTGCTGTTAGAGCCTTTAAGAACCCTTGGTCACCTCCATATCATAAAGCGACATCAAAGTAGGACTTTCGTGCTGGATGTTTTTAAATAATACATAAATAAAATGTGTTTTTATCTTTACAGATAAATTGGTGTATACTTGTATCTATATACAGGTAGACAAAATGCACAAAAAGCCATCAAACTTTTAATTTCTTCTATTAGTTTGTGTGCAGCATTGGTGAAGTTTCAATAAGTACTACAAGATTATTAGAATGGCAAATTATAGTGGGAACAATATTCTAACACTTTCCTCTCCCCTCCCCATGCAAATTAAGCTAGGTTTTGGGGTGTTTTGTTTGGGGGGGAGTACTAAACCATTCTCTAGACTTGGTTGGTGTAGGGTTGCTCACATCATTTCCTGGCCATAGGAGTCAAAAAAATAGCCATCAGGTGTTCCACATGCTCTCTAGGATTGGCTAGTGGAAAGCTATGGATAACTTGGGCAGAGGATCTTTGCTCAGCTGAATTAACTCAAGGTGTCCTCAATACATAGCCTTGTTTAATATCCTCCTTTTGTGGCTAAGTAAAATCCTTTTTTAAACTGCTGAATGACATACAAGTGTCTCATTTTGTCCTAATTATCAAACATGAACTACTAGGGGTCAGGCTTATCCAGAAAACAAATCAAAGTTACTACATATAACCACCTGTTGTTTCAAAGAATTCCATACGAGCAGAAGTCCTATCATAGGCTTGCTCCTGTATAATCTGAAATATGGAAAATACAACGTAAGGCCATTAAACTGCTAGCTTAATAAATTTACCAAAACAAGATATAAAATATTCTACTTTTTCAGAGCATGTTAAATCTTCCTTATATTTTAAAGACTTTAAAAAAGCCAAAGTTCTACTCAACTTTCTAATTGTGCCATGAAAGTGACCCTTGGTTCTCAAAGACTACGGCAGCTAGCAAAAGCTCTGGCAGGTTCTCCTAGGCTTTAAAGGCTTTCAGTACAGGCCAGGTGACAGGCTATATGCTTACCAGGCTAGCTGAGTATGAAGAGGTTTAGCACCTGCAAGTGGCCTCTAGGTGATGAATTCTTTGAACGTGAAACAGTTAAAAAAAACCAACAACGGAACTCCTTTTCCTGCCTAAAGTAATTTCCCAAACCAAAGTAGCTTTATAGAATAGAAATGATTATATGATACCCAGGGAGGAGGTGGGACTCACCAGGGAATAAAGTTTTCTTGTACCCAAACCCATAGATAATTGAGTTTTTTCTGCAATCTTTGTAGATAATCAATTTGTTTTATTTTCCATGGGGAAAAAAGAGAATTAATATCAATAGTAACAAATGAGGGTCAGTTCCTGGGACACAGCAGTCTCTTGTCCAGGAGCACACCATCATCTGCTCATGCCTACTGTGAGTGGATGTGAATGAAATCAAGAAAGATTATGAAAGACAATCCAAGATGCCACCAGAATTCATGGAAAACTGAGGCTCCCAGATGCCTCCTAGGACACGGTAACACAGCAGGTAAGAGCTGTGTCAAAACCTTGAGAATCAACCTTCATGCTTCTAATCATCAAACTAAATCAGCAGAACTCACTGATATTTTGAATGATTCATTTCCCAATTGTTAGCATACTCTCACTCCCTATTACACTTACTATTCTAGTAATACCGACCAGCCAAAGAACAACTCTCTCTACCCAACTCCAGGTGTTCTGCCTCCTCATTCCCATTCACCTCAAACTTACCCCCAAAATCTTTCACTCTAAAAGAGCTTATCCCTTCCACTGTGCCCTCTGGAACTCATGATCCAAAATTAGCACACTTCCTCTCATCTTAGACCACTCACTCTCTTGTTACATCTTCTGGTACTTAGTGAGACATACTTGGCTCCCTCTGGGTGAAACTGCATCCTTGGCCACCCTTTCTTCATCAGCATTTGATGCTATTGACTACCTTATCTTCCTGGATATGCTCTATATCTTTTCTATGCAAATAATTACCAGATCTATATCCAACCCACTATCTCTCCCAAGATCCAATCCCACATCAGCAACTTCTTAAACTCAACATGTCCAAAAGAGTCTCATTATATTTCCCCCATAATCCATCTATTTGCCAAACTTCCTTATTTCTGTTAAGTGCATCACTACACCCTCCTAGTCACCTAAATTCACCTCAGTATCATCCTTTTGCTCAATCCGTATATCTAAGCAAGTTTTCAGACCCTCTGATTTCTTCTCTCTCAAATGTCCCCTTCTCTCCACTCACACAGCCACCACCCTAGTTCAAACCTTCATCACCTCTCACTTGGACTACTGCAATAGTCTAATTGGTCTCTCTGCTTCAGATCTCTCCCCTCTCCAATACATCCTCCACAAAGCTACCAAAATAATTTTCCTAAAGTGTGAGTCTGATAAAGTAGAAAGTGAAGAGGAATTAAGAAGCTCCTTGATGAGAGTGAAAGAGAAAAGTATAAAAGCTGGCTAGAAGCTTAACATCAAAACACTAAGATCTTAGCAACTGGCCCCATCACTTTCTGGCAAATAGAGGGAGAAGAAATGGAAGGAGTGTCAGATTTTATATTCTTGGGCCCAAAGATCACTGCAGATGATGATCTTAACCATGAAATTAAAAGATGCTTGCTCTGTAGAAGGAAAGCTATGGCAAATCTGGAAAGCATAATAAAAAGCAGAGACATCACCTTGTTGACAAAGGTCTAAGTAGTCAAAGCTATGATTTTTCCAATAGCAATGGATGGCTGTGAGAGCTGGATTATAAGGGAAGCTGAGCACCATAGAATCAATGCTTTCAAATTGTGGTGCTGGAGAATACTTTTGAGAGTCCCTTGGATAGCAAAGAGATTAAATCAGTCAATACTTAAAAAACTTAGTTTAGACTATTCATTGGAAGAACAAATATTGAAGCTGATGCTTAAATGTTTTGTCCACATAATGAGAAGACAGGACTCGATGGAAGAGAGATTGATGTTGGGAAAGATTGAAGGCAAAAAGAGAAGAGGAAAGTAGAGGATAAGAAAAGTAAAAAGTGTCATAGAAACAATGAACATAAGTTTGGATACACTTTGGGAGACAGTGGAGGATATAGAAGGGCCTGGTGTGCAGTCAGAATTAATCAGGAGGAGGAGAATGGGAAACTTGAGGAAACTATAAAACTCCTTTAATATCTCCAAACTTCTCCCAGAAACAAATGTTCATTTTTTTAATAACAATACTCTACCAATGTTGTTGTATGGCTACAGATCATGAACAACAGTAGCCAAGGAACTGAAAATGAACATGACACAGAGGGCAACAGAGAAGTGCATGGTGGGAATACGCGGGATTCAATGTTTAACAAATAATTAACTTTGAAGAATTGGAGTTAAAGATGTCACCAAGGAAATATATGAGGTGGAAAATTATGTTTTGGTCACATGGCAAAAAAAGGATCACAGTTAGAAAACACAAGTGCTCCACAAATGTTCATCTTTGTATCAGGACAGAGCGAGGCCCCCAAATGATAGAAACATGAATCCGATAACAGACTTAGAGGGCGAAACCATCAAGATTCACATAGAATGGTCAGGCATGAAAGAGTTGTGAACTGCATCACTGGAGAGAACATCCAAATCAATGAAATTATAGAACTATTTGATAATTTGAATATTTTGAATGTTTGGGGAGAAAGTCTTGTGGAGATGCAACCTGTGAGCAGCTACGGTTACTGAAAATGCAGAGCAGAACCAAGGTTCCTGACACTTTGGATTCAAATGGTCTAACATCAGAAATGGAGATGGTTTTATCGATGAAAATGACATTTTAAAAGATGCATTTCCATATATGCTTTGCTGCTATACCCTAAAAACCACTAAGCCTTTTCAATTCAATTACCACTGAACTCTTCTACCTCTTGTCTCCCTCTATAAAATGTGAGTCCCTTGAAGACAGGTACTGTCTGGCTTTTCCATTTGAATCACCAGCACTTAGCGGTGCTTTGAACATAGTGCCTAGTAAGCCCTTCTTTCATTCCTAGATCTATGTCTAGGGAGAAGGAGACAACCTGCGATTTCATTGGTAGGAGAACTCCCGGGTGAGAAGAACTCTCTCAACCAAGAGATGCTATCATTTTTTTCTGCAAGTTTCAGTCTTGGAGAGTTTCCTGGGGCACTAAGAGGTTAAAATATTTGCCCAGGGTCCCATAGCCAGGATATGTCAGAAGCTGGACTTGAAACCAAGTCTTTATGTATCCAAGGTCATAAAAGCTAATAAGTGATGATGATGATGATAACTATCATTTATATAATGCTTTAAGTGTTTTGCAAAGCACTCGACAAATATTACCTCATTTTATCCTCATAATATTCCTAGGAAGCAGGTGCTCTTATTATTTCAATTTTACAGATGAGCAAACTCAAGCAGATAGATAAATCACTTGTCCCAGGATCACACACCTAGTATCTCTGGCCAAATTTAAATTCACATCTTTCTGACTTCAAGTGCAAAGCTCTATCCTCTGACAACTAGCTATATGCTTCTAAGTGACAGAGTCAAGATCCAAAACCAGGTTTTCTAACTCTTAATCCAAATTTATTTCACTATATCAGACTGTGATATGATCATCACCTGTTCATACTAAATCTTTTTACTAGGAACTTCAAAAAACACATACATAAAATTTACAATTATGATTGTAAATCACATCACAACTGCCAATGTGATCAATTCCATGCTCTGTCTAACATACCTTCACACTCAAAACATAATAATATTGATACAAAAAAGTGTCTCTCACCTTCCATCGGGGTTTGCAGTCTTTGGGCCTCCAATGACCACCTGGACCAATATCTAAATCCTTAGAGAATACCTGTTGAATTTCATCTAAACTGATTTCACTCATATTGACATTGATAAGGCCCCCTATATAGAAAGAAACACAAGGAAAACATTTTAATGTCTTTTACAACAAGGATTCAGAAATATACTAAATATCTAATACTAAGTGAAATAAAATTTATTTACCTGAACTAAACATTCTCATTGGGTACACCAGATTAATAAATAACTCATGTTTGTAGCAGATCTTCTAGTGATGCTCAACAAATGTTAATTAAGCACCAAATATGTATCATGGTCTCAGAGTGAGGGAGACCTGGTTCAAGTTCCATTTCTGACACATACTGACTGTGTACATCACTTGCCTTTCTTTGATCCAGGCAATTTTCTAAGACTATAAGCTGCACGGTAGTCATGAACTCTCATTGGCTAAAATAGTTTCCTCACCTGGAGATGTAATTAAAAGCCTGGACCACCCCCTCCTCTGCTGATGAAAAACCTTCTGCAAGGGGAGATACAATAATCAATAGGACAAGGTCCTAGCTCACATGCAGCTTACAACAATTCAGGAGAGAGATACAACACATGCACAAATGAGTACAAGCCAAAAAAAAAGACAATAATAAATAATACTAATAATAATAATAATTAATGTTTGTATATTGAAAGAAGAATCAGAACAAAAGAGAATAACCACAAGAGACAGACAGACAGACAGGCAGAGAATAGTGTGTTGCGATCTGCATTCAGGCTCCGTAGTTCTTTCTCTAGATGTAGAAAGCATTTTCCATCTGGAGTCTTTTGGCATTATCTTAGAGCATTGTATTACTAAGAAGAGCTAAGTTAATCATAGCTGATCATAACACAATATTGCCTGTTACTGTATACAGTGCTCTCCTGGTTTTGCTTCTGCTTATTTCACTCAGCATCAGTTCATGTAAGTCTTCCCAGTTTTTCTAAAATCCATCTGCTAACATTTCTTATAGCACAATAGTATTCCATTACATTCATGTATCACAATTTGTTCAGAGACTAGAGAAGTCTAAAGTGTTATATTCATCTGAAGAAGGAAAGATCATTTCTGACTACAGGATCAGAAAAGGCTTGATAGAAGATTCGGCACATGAGTTGTATCTTGAAAGACCTCAGTAGACTGAGAGCATTCCATATACAGGAAAGTATGAGCAAAGGGAAAAGAACAAAAGAGTGCAAGGAGTGCATGGAGTGTGGTAATATGAGTTAAGGCTAAAAAGTCAGTGTGGTGCCAAATGGTGGAACGCCATTTGAGGAAGGCTGAGGAGTTTGGATTTTATTCAGAAGGCATTATAGCCATTGAAAAGTTTTTACTGGAGAAGTGATATGATTGGATCAATTTTTCATAAGGATTTATCTGCCATGGAATATGAAATATGAATTGGAGGGTGTAAAGACTGAAGGTAAAGATCAATTAGGAAAGTAGTGCCATAGCCCATGTCAGTGGTAATGAGGTATCCACAAAGCTTGCAGCAATGGGAAGGGAAAGAAAGAAGATGCAAGAGATGTTGAAGAGACAGAATCAACCAGACTTAGCAACTGATTGGGAGTGGGAAGCAACAGAGAGGGATGAATAAAAGATAATACCAAGTTTATCAACATGAGGTGACTGTGAGTAATCGGGCAACTGACAGAAATAGGGAATTGAAAAGAAAAGAACATGTTTGGAGGGAAAAGTTCCGTTTTAGACATGGTGTATTTGAGATGCCAGCAGGGCATATATGTTTTGATATAAGGTAGACAGTTGAAAATGCCAATCAAGAGTTTACAGCTATAGATTTAGGAGTTATCTGCATAGAGGTTCTAGTTGAAGTTGTGAGACATAACAAGATTGCTAAAAGTAATTTAGCACTTAGTATTTATAGACTTCTGAGTCACATGAGCAACAAGACATAGGACTAGACTTTTTCTCTAATCCTCACGACCTCTCAAACTTCTCCAAAATAAGAATCATGTGCAAGAGGTAAAACAATTTCAGCTGTTTCCACCGTATAAGACACCACAAACCCTAACAAGGTAAAACCCAATGAATCAACAACAAAGGAAGCTAATCTCTAGCCCCTAATGCACACAGCACAGCTACCCCCACTACCCACCATACTCTGGCAGGATCATAAGAGAATTCAAATCTACCCTGTCTACCTCTTCATTACTTGGGAAACTAAAATCTCAGCTCTGGCTGAGATTGCAGTGCTCTGTGCTGCAACAGTACTCAGCTCGAGAACTGCAGAAGAGAAAAAATTGGAATAAGAAGCCAAAATGTTATGGTTCCCACCCGACTTTTCCAAAAGGCCCAGCACCCAGATGGGACCAGTTCTTTTTCCTGCAGAACTGTCTTGAGGCAGAGTCTGAGGTTGGCCAAATGTGAACTGTGCAGTGTAAGAGTAAGCTTAGAAGGTTTTGAGATCTAGGCTTCAGGGAAACTGTCATCAAAGGGGAAAGAATCAAAAAATGAGCAATAGGAGAATATAAGGAGAAAAGACTGAAATTACCAGAGACCTGAGAAGGAAGAAAATTCAGTTAACGACCTTGAGCATAAGTAGATAAACCAATAGGGAACATATTAATAACAGAAAGAAATATGGTCTCCAGATTAAAAAAAAAAGAGTCCTGGCATCTATGAATAAATACTATATGACAAAGGAAAACTAATCAGCAAATGATGAGACTGGCTTATGACTCTGTGTATTTCCAAAAGAACATGGAACCATAGCAAGATATTCCTGAATGGTTTAGAAGACAAATATTAAAGAATTGGGAAAGTAGAATGTATGACTTGTACAGCAAAAGTAATTGGCAGAATAGAAAAACTGAATCCATAGTAGCAAGGATCACCAAAGAAACAAAAGAATAACTGATTGAAAATGTAAATACAAAGAAGTGAAGAGCAATCTGGAAGAAGAAAAACAAAAAGGAATAATGTTAAAAAGAAAATAGGATCTTCATACAAGCAAAATATTGATCTCAAAGACAGGATAGAGGCAAGTTAAATATTATAGGTCTACCAAAAGAAAACCCAGGCTCCAAACCTAGGTGTTATTCTCTGTTCCTCATTCTCACTCTCACCCATGCCCCCATATCCAATCTGTTACCAAGTCCTGTCTATTTTGCTTTCACAGCATCTATTGCACATGCTTCTCTCTCTTCTCTGACACAAGCATTACTCTGGTACAGGCTCTCATCACCTCATGACTGCACTATTGCAATAGCCTTCTAGTTGGTCTCCCTGCCACAAGTCTCTCCCTGCTCCAAGCTGTCAAAGTGATCTTTCAAAATCACAAGTCTGACCACGTAATCCCCCTCTTCAATAAACTTCAGTGGCTCCCTATCACCTCCAAAAATCAAATATAAAATTCTCTATTTGGTATTCCAAGCCCTTCATAACTTGCCCCTCCCCCATTTTTCCTATCTTCTAACACCTTATATCCCCACAACCACCAATATACTCTTTGATCTTTGGCCTCCTCTCTGCTTATTGAACAAAAGATTCTATATCACAAATCTTAGCATTTCATTGACTGTTTCCCATGTCTAGAATGTTCTCTCTTCTCATCTCTGCCTCCTGACTTTAGCCCCAGCTAAAATCTCATCTGCTTCAGGAAGCTTTTCCCAAACCTTTAATTCTAGTGCCTTCCCTGTGTACATCATCTCCACTTTATTCTGTATATTTTGTTCATATACAGTTGTTTGCATGTATCTCCCCCATTAGACTGTGAGCTCCTTGAGAACTTTGTGTCCCCAGAGCTTAGCACAGTGCCTGGCACATACTGCATGCTCAATTAATGCTTATTGACTGACTGATGAACACAAGTCAAAAAGCCTAAACACCAAAATTCAAAAAATTAAATTTCATAGTGATACTATGAAATTTCTTTGAAGCAAGAAGCAAACAAATCTAAAAACTCAGTTCCTCTTCTCCCTCTAATCTACACTAATTTTAGTCATTACATTAATTTCACTACCTCTAATATTATTTTGGCATCTAGAGTCTGATTCTGGACATTTTGTCTTCTAAAGTCAGTAATCTCCTCTTGCTACTAGGTAATTTTGTCTTCTGATATAAGGTTAAATTGCCAATATATTGTGCCTGTTAGCTTTCTGAAAATATCCCTTTAGCTATAATCTTTCCTTTCCTGGGTCAGAAACAGAAATGACAAAGAAAAATCAAACTGTGTGTCCACATGCCTCTACTTAAGTCTATCTCCAGGAATCACCATTTCCTCCAATCAGCATATGTTTACCTGAGTAAGCATGATATTAATCATACAACCCTTTCAAGTTCAGTGCTGATATGCAAGCTACTTTACATTAATACTAAACACTACATGTTAGCTAATGTTTTCAATTTGAGGACAGGTACTTATTAATTTTGTGGTTGACAAAAAGCTAAAAAAAATCTATTTTCTTGACTAAAAGAATCAAATTCAAAATTATTTTGACAGGCTGGAATGAGGCAAAGCTAACAAGATGAAGCTTACTAGGGATAAAAATAAAATCTTGAGTTTAAGTTCCAAAAATCAATTATACAAGAATAGGTTGGGCAAAACTTGACTTTTGTCTTTAAAGCAATTCACATGAAAGAGATTTGCCTAGAGATTTCAGTTGACTGAAAGCTCTATGAGAATCAATATTGTGCATTAATTTTGGGATATCTATGTCAATCTTAAGTTGCATTAATAAAAGTAGAGTGTCCAGATCAAGGAAAATATATTTCACTGCATTATTCACTGGTCAAACCACAACTGGGAGATACTTCTGAATACCACAGTTTAATAAGGATATTGAAAAACTGAACCATGTCCAGAGAAGGGTAATCAGAATGGTAAAAAATAGCTAATAGTTATATTGCAGTTTAAGGTTTGCAAAGTGCTTTACATACATAATCTCACTGATCTTCACAATAACCCTCGTGTTAAAGTGTTGAGAAACTATTTTACCTACAGTAATAGCAAAGTTTAGCCTGGAAAAGATAAGATTTAAGGAGGCCCAACAGAGGTCTTCAAGTATATGTAGCGTTATCACATACAACAAGGATGATGTTTATTCTATAT